TAGGATAGGCAAGGAAGACAAAATTACCGAACTTCAGGTGTCTGGATCAACTTTGTTTCAACAGCTTCGAATTTCACTTCGCAAAAAAGAATTGTGAACTATCGACTAGCGCCGAGAGCGATAACAGTCGATCATGAAATGTCTTAGATGTTTCGTTAAACTATGATTTTCGTCCGCATCAAATTCACTACAAAGTCGGCTTTTTTGTGAAAGAAAAAAGTTGTCTTGCGATATAGTAGATCAAGTCATGAAATTTTAAGTACTCTATTCAAGGTTCTATGCAACAAAATACATAAAACATCATAAAATTTTCAGTCACACTTGTTACGAAAAAATATTTCGAAAATTCGCAAGCTTAATTGAAATTAAACTTTCAAGGTTTACATGCGAGCACGACGATAGCGGCAAAAATCAGTGGTACTGTTAGAAACATTATTATGTTCTGGTGGACGAATTCACACCGTTCTTCAGCGCTTATGGTCAAGATACGATTTTTGACAAAGAAAAGGTGAAGTAAAATTTTACGTGCGTTGTAGATAAACTTTGTTTTGTCCGGTGATGCTGACTGATGTGCAAAACTTTGATGTCAAGTGGAACTCAAACCCGCATTTCACTTCTTCAGTGGTCGAGTGCTTGAGCAATTGCACAACCGACGCTTGTTTTGTCACCATCTTTCTACACTAAATCGCATCAATCTGTCAGCAAACAACTGTCAATGGTACGGCCTGGTATGCCATGATTGCTAAGCACACGCCGCTGGAGAGAGTGACATTCGCGGTCAATTTTTTGCCTGACGGCAAAGTTTTGCACATCATTCAACATCATTGGTTATATGTGTTACATCATATTATCGCTAGCCAACGGTTAAATTAAAATATCCTGCCGATCAATATCTTGACCTTGGTCAGAAGTTTTCAGATGCTCACCAAAGATGTACAAATTCTACTCAGTTAACGAAATTGGTAACTTGCTCAATGTAATAGCACGGACTATAATCACTGTATTTAGTTTTGAGTGAGTAAAAAAAAAAGTTAAGCGTACAGCAACAAGAAGAATAATTACAACGAAAGCGACCAATCTCAGCGAATGGCTCTCCATGCGCACAGCGTTTTTTTGATCGACTGAAATAGTATTGTTACAATGGATGGACTCGCTGAGAGCGAAGTGCTTAGCGATGAGTCTCATCAGAAAGAAGGTTCTGATTGTTTAGAGTTCTACCATAACGTTCTCTTGCAATTACATGGAATCATTTCAGCTAGGCTATCTCCAAAATTGTACAAAGAATTGCTTCAACTGGAAATCTACGGCGCCATATTGAAGACAGAATCCTCAAATATATGGCGAAGCAACGCGCAAGTTGTTCGAAAAGCTTTGAGACGATAAATACGGAACAATGCATCAAATGCAAGATCCAGAAATATCACATCATTTTTGATGATTGATCGGGCTAAATAAATAAAGGAAATAATTGAAACATATAGTAATTGGATAGAGGTAAGACATACGCAGTAGCTGAGATTTCACTATTAATCTCGTACTTTGTAATACTTGACGATGCCACCAAGCTCGGTAAGATCGTGATAGTGTTGACACATGGGCTATATCTATCAATGAGCTCAGTGAGCACGGACTTTATAAAAGGTCCTTCCAGCGATCCTCAAATGTAGCAAGTCTTCCGTGATCGCCAGAAACTTGTAAGCCATTCCGTGCTGTTGAATCTCACTACAGAGGTTCCTACGCGATTTGTATTGTTTAGAGCTAATGGTTCAAGTCAATTGGCAGCGACAATGTTTTAAAGATTTTTAATGGCTCAAATGTATCTATTCAGACGTAAAAGCAGACATAAATTTCACATAGCATAAGATTCCATGCATATCAATGCGAGTATGTCAAGCACAAATAAAAGTGTCGAAACAAGAGCGAAGAGTACAACGAAGGTGATCATAATTGTGGAATGATTATTTATTCAAACCGTCCGCTTTTATACTAGCCAAAACCGTAATTTGACATAATATTAGCTTCATTGAGCCCATCAATTGTCTGCTTTTCAATTCATGGGGTGATCAGGAAAATCCAATTACCGTGTCAGTCTGCTTTGTTCCACGTCACACAACCGGCTCTTCTTTTCAGTAATGGAAATATGACAGCTTTGATAGATAGTCAACATCGGAATTATAATGTTATGGGTCGTTTGCTAATTATCAAGGTGTTGACTTTTTGGAAAGCAGCTTTACTCGAGAACGAGATTTCTCGGCCAACAGTTAAGTGATAAATGGGATAAAATAAAGAAAATCCTGATATTTTGTGACCTGAAAATTCTTTATTTAACCATCTATTTGATATCAAGGAAGTTGGCGGCCGAATGACTAATTTTCGTTGTGGGTGGTTCGTCCTCTGAGCATTATACGGTAATCAAGGTGCATTCTACCGATAGCGCCAGTTTGGCCGCTTTCGAGACTGCAAAAATTTTCTTTTGATTAAACCTGTTGCACAAGATGTTAATAATATTTTTTACTCGCCTAGCGTTTCTACGCGCAAATTGTTTTCAGAATCGATGATTCGTGTAGATGCTCACTGTTGTTCGCTCACAGGTCTTCACTTTGGTCTCGCTCGAGTCGAACCTTCTTCAATGGAGCATCGCTCAAATGAAGAGCCTCACTCGGTGAGTTTCTCATACACGAGATGAATCGTATGCTAATTAGCTAATTAGCTATACAAGTAGGGCGCATATCTACAACGAGGACAAACGACTGCTAACGAGCGACTCGCATCCTCTCGGCTCTGAAGATTGCAAAATACCTCGGCGTTTCTCAGAATAAATAGACACTAACACTTCTTGCTGCAGTCCTAGAAAACAAGAAAACTACATCGAGAAGCCGTGTTCAATAAGTATTCTGCGACATTCATGTAGAAACAAATTCTCAATCAAACATTAGGCTAGAAGTATTGGGACCTGTATAGTGAAGAAAAAACTGTATTATGGCGAAAATAAAGGACAAAGTGAAGAGTTTTCGATGTCAACACGAAAAATTCTTACTGGTGCACATTATTAGGTTGAGAAAAAACTTCCTCAACACCCCCAATGGTTCAATTGTTATGTTTGTTTCACACAGCATCGGTTATTGTAATTTCATGAAAATGTCTCGGAATGGCTTTGTATGAAACTCCTCTGATGCGTTAAGGGAAAATACCCGACATTGATTAGTTGAAAGCTCGCGCTGCTTCAGCAAGGCAATGCCAAATCTCATAGCGTAAAGAAAACTAAGGAGACGTCAATATTGATGTTGAGGGAGTCGAGTCTTGCCGCACCCAACCTGCAGTCCAGATGCTGCGCTGTCAAATTATGGTCCTATTCCACGCAATAGAACAGCTTCTCCGTGGGCGCTAATGGGAGACATTTGATTAAGTTGAAAAGGCATGTCAGGAGTTGCTTTGATTCGAAGCCCAAGGAATGATGATTTCGAGCAGATCCGGAAACTTGCACATAGTTGACAGAAGATCATAGACAATTATGGTTTATATTTTGGAGAAAAAATATTGTTGTTTTGAGTGAATTCAATATTAAGTGAAAATTTTAAGTAAAATGATTAACTGACCTTCAACTTTCAGCGGGTTTAAGTCCTTCTATTGCTTCCAAATCATCAGTGACAGAAAATACAGATGCCTGAAGTGAATACGAACGTGCCTTCCTGTTCTATCTGTGTTATTCGCGAAACCTTAGCATTCTTGCAAGATTCATATCACTATTTTTTTCTTACATCTAATGCCAATTCTCAGTTTTACATGGCTCGTCTATGTTACGGTTTTTGTAGTCTGTCCTTATGTATATTGTAGCGGTAGAGTGTGTAATGAAGTACAAAATGAGTTAATTGCCGCATGGGGCTTTTATTAGTTGCCTATATATCGAACTCTTCGGGTATGGATTATATCGTTCATTGTTATAACAAAAGCACAACAATACCAATGCAATGATTTATGGATATAGTGCAAGGGGGCAGTATGCAAATCGGGAACACTGACCAGGACTCAGACAAGGCGGAAGTTCCTTGGGAACATTCTGTCGCTCAATATCACAGAACACACATTCATTACTCATTCAGTGAAAAGGGCACCTGTGCAAATAAGCTTGGTTATGTGACAAATCCAGATGTTTAGTAGAAGAAAACAAACTTTTAACAGTCACGGATGTTAATGCACACACCTGATCGTCAATAGTCTGTTGAACTTTTGTTGTACATTTCGATTTCTTAAATAAGCTCATTTGCACAAATGCCCTTTTGCTAAATATATAATGAATGTTTATTCTGTGATCCTGCTCTAGAGTATCTTTATTTACTTATGGCTTTGATCTATGTCATTCTCGCCCCATTATGAAGTGAATCTAAGCGGCAGAACTTCCAAGGTATCTTCATGATATCATCAGGTTGCTCTGCACATTCGTTGCTGCACCGATCACCATATTCAAAGTAAAGCTCACAAATGACGTTTTCGGGTTCAAAAGTCGTACCTTCAAAATCCTATAAAAACTATCTTATAAAATAATTTGTTGCTTATAAAGCGAATCATACCTCTTCATTTGATCGCTTTCTCATAGATCTTGTTCAAATAATAATAATCTGATAAGAATATAACATGTTTCAAGCCATTAGGTCTGAGTACTATACAGGGGCCTGTTTCTTCCATACCGGAACTCATCAGAAGTACACCGGAATGTAGAGTTTACAGGTGCATAGCCTCAGGGAATCGGATGAATTGAGAGAAGGTGCTACTGATGAGCCTCGATAAGACGAAACAGACACCAATATAGTACTTAAACTTAATCATATATTTTTATCATTATGATTTCTGTAAAACAACATGTGAACAAATAGCCTTTTCAATGCTCTCTCAAAACAAAGAAATTACATATCTTAATCAATCGTAATTCATTCATTTTACCGCTTGTTGCGGTGGCATGTCTTGTATATGCCCAATAATCTGGAGTGCCGTGCAAAAACATTTGCGTCATCCGGGGTTCGAACCCAAATCTCACTCTTACCAGGAGCATATACTAACCGTTGCACCACAGACGTTCATCCTGCACCAGCACTCTTTTTACGCTACAACGCGTTATCTGTCAGCAGCCAACCGTCTACGGTCTGGCGGGGCAGCCGCTATCGGCATTGAACCCGCTTGTGCTGACAGATATTGGGTATCAATAATCAATCGGTATTCATTTATTTGACCACTTGTTGCGGTGGTATGATCTTGTAGTATACCCAATATCTGTCAGCACAAGTGGTTCAATGCCGATAGCGGCTGCCCCGCCAGATCGCAGACGGTTGGCTGCTGACAGATAACGAGTTATAGCGTAAAAAGAGTGCTGTGCAAAACGAGCGTCGGTGGTGCAACGGTTGGCATACGCTCCCGGAAAGAGTGAGATCTGTGTTCGAATCTCGGCTGACGCAAATGTTTTTGCACGGTACTCCACATTATTGAGTATACATATCTTTATTTTAACTACTATTACAGCAAAAAAATAATTAAAAGACGGAGTCATATCTGAACATCTGAAAATGTTCCTGAAAGAGGCTTTTCGAATCATTAAAAATGGAGGCCTTCTCTGTGCCTAATTTTGCTAAATTGATCTGCTTTATAATAAAGTTCTCAAATAAATAAGCGCAATGTAGTGCACAAAGCTCTACAACCCACCAAGCTAGAATGGATGGCGTACATCCAAATCATCCACTTGATCAACCACATTTGAACGCATACGTTCAAACCGGTACGATGTATTGACATTTTATTCCGCATTCATCGAATGTTCTCAGTCTTGTAGTCAAAGTGGGCCAACAATTTATTCGATTTGTCATTTTATATTGATAAATTGATTTCTGGGCGAAAAAAAAAGTTGCCTTGTTATTGTAAGAAATGAAAAACACAATCAGTGAAATGATACTCAAATGTTTTCGATTTCCTTTACTCAACATATTATGCATGTGCAAAAGATAGTCAACTCAATGTCTATGGCCACCCAGATCTAGAGTACGATTATCTATTTTTATTAGTGACGAAAAATTCTCTCTCTGTATTTCTAAGCCCGTTTTTTCGATAAAAGACTAAAGCGGGCACCAGTGAATGATGAACCAAATTTTTTTTTTACTTGGCTTTCGGTACCGCTTCAGACTGGACGCGCTTTTGGACAAGTCGACTGAACATTCAGGAACGGGAGCGAATTTGCTTTCTGCTTCTCACATGCAAGTTTTATGTATTATGACTGTATTTTTAACAACTCATTTGTCTATCTTCTATTGTGTGCAGCAGATGACAAAACAATAATATATATATCTACGGCTTAGCAGTGGCCCAAAATCGTTTATTCAGGCCTCCATCTTAGCCAAACATTCAAAGCAAAACTTAAGGCCAGCCTCTGCTGCATTGCCAGCCCTCTCATTAAAATAATACTCAGGCCGTTCAAAAATTAGGCATTTTAGGCACTCCAAAAATAGGGCCATGACTTGTCGAATCGAAAAGCCATGCACACTCGCAACTCCCTTTCTGCTTCATGACGTGAGGAACTCGCGGATGACTCACGTTGCGGAATAACTCGACACGGTTCATTGGACGATCACGTCGAAGAACTTCATCACATAAGCCCTGACGTGATGATTTTGATCATGCACATTGCAGAATAGCACCATATAATATACTGGACCAATCTAGGTTGCTGCATGCCAAGAACAGATGCTTGAAACTAGATAGCTAAGAAATTTGAAAATTCGCCAAGTAGATTTCGGATTGAAGACAACGTATATGAGAATAGTTAAGGCTTCGGTAAAAGTGATCATTTTCGTACGCGAATCTAAAATCTTTGCTCGAAAAATTCCTCTCTAATTTTGCACGATTTTCAAAAATCTAAAAAGAAACCAAAAGGAGCAGTTTTTTATACTCACGCGAAAACCTTGAATTGTGCGGTCCTTAGTATATGTACACAACATTTTCCATAAGATTACGAATGTTCTCCACCTTTTGCAGGGTGGAATTCTCTCAAACCTGTGAAGTTATGCTTGATTTGATTGTTTTCGTGTAATTTGACTCCGTAGTCGAATTTAATTTATGTCTCGTAAGCCGGTTACACTGTCAACGCACTTGCAGCTTTATACGTTGGGTGCGCATCGCCTCACTCATGACCGTCAAAAGCCTGTTGCACTTTCGTTGCAGATTTGGATTTGTTACGTGATTGAACTTAACTAAGCAGCTTATTTTCACTTGAATGGATGATTTTATGTTCTGCAATACTGCTTCAAATTGTTTCACTTTGCTCAACTTTATTTTAGGCTGATCTCATCAGAGCGCATGTGGTGCAGTGGTCAGTGGTGCCCTGCGTCGCGCACGAGGTCACTGGTTCGATCTCGCGCTCATGGCTCACCAAGCCGTCCATCCTTCCGGGGTCGGTAAATTGGTAGCAGACAGGTCTCAGACTTGTCTGAGAGGATAAGCAGCACTGACTCGGTTCAGCGGAAAACCACCGCGAATCATGGAAAGGCCAGATGTGCATTCAATCACCTCAAACGAAATTAAAAATTGAGTCGAATGCATGGCGCATCCCTCAGGGATTGATTAACACCGAGAGCTTTATCCTTTTATCCTCATCCCATTATGAAGTGAATATAAGAGGACGAACCTTTTCAATCAAACTATAGTACATTTTCCAATCTGCCACTGCATTATACATAAGGATGGGCTCAGAAAACGGTACATAGACGATCCAGTTAAAACTGAGATTTGAGATCAAATACCAATAAATGGTATAACGAATCTCGAAGAAATGTTAGTCTCCTTCACAATTAACAAGGTAGAACAGGAAAACACGTTCGCAGTTCACCTCGCAAATTTTCATTCTCTCTTAAAGTGTCATTTTTAAAATAACAGGATGGAGCTGCAGACTTATTGTGCAAATTTGAAGAAAGGTATGTTTGAACAAAATTGACTTTAAGAACAGATCTTTGAACCATCCACGAATGCACCGCTGTGCTAAGCTTTCCATGCGATGCTTATCTAGATTGACAGAAATTAATCCAGCAAGTGGAAATTTCACTCGCAATTTGGGCTTTCAAAAGGCAATAGTACATAAAGGCTTATTTGAATATTCTATTTTTTGGGAAAAGTTTTATTGGAAAGCTTAACATGGCCATTCACAGAATTCTAACCAAAGCAAAATTAGTAAGGCATCATTTCTTGAAGAACTGAAAATGATATAGCAAACACAACGCCTAATTGGCTATTCAAAAAGCAGAACGAAGCATTTGCAGTATGGCGAATAGGCGAATATCGATCAATATTGAGAACCTTTCCCTTTCGATTGTTGTACGACGATAATTTTGTTTGTAGCGATTTAGCTTACTACTCATGTAGTTAATTAGAACAATAAATGATAGTTTTGCTGAAATAACTCTATAAGAGCGTTTCTGTAAAGCTAAAAAAATTTAATACGAGCAGAGCTATTGGTGTTATAGTGAAGTCAAAGTGAAGTTAGCAGTGTTTCACAAATCTCTTTTTCCTTTTTGCCCCACTCATAATTGGTGTGGGTATAATAAAAAAAAGGGTATTTCAATAAGGCTTGCCGACATAAAGCTTAGAACAATGATTAAAACGGGAAAAATATAGAGCAATGATGTGGCAGTATCGACAGATGATTACTCGAGATTTCTTCATCCGGCTGAGTACCAGCGGACCCATAGGTGTCTGGCCCCATCCCTCGCCCCGCCCCATCAATCACGTCTTTTGTCTTTTCACTATAATATGCTCGGATCTTTGGCACACCAAATCAGACGACATTATGTATAGTAGTACCGTAGCACACGCGATCAATCTATATAATTTGTTCATCGCCATTTATTTTGCATTGCGCAATTTTATAACAATAGTTTCCAACAATCTGCAACTTATGACAACATATTATATTTACATATAACATAGGAAAGCAAAAAGAATAGTGCATTCCAAATAACACGATAATACAATTATTCCAAATCAAATGCAATAAATGCTAATAAGATGTCTGTTTCTTAATTACAAGCAGCACTATGTAATGGCGCTGGTCTTACAGAGATGTGCGGGATAACAACACTTTGAACAGAAATGCATTTTACTGACACATCTAGTGTTTCTCTTCTTACCATGATTTTGAGCATAATACATGCTTATTCACTGACATCTTTTTATAACATTCACATCGGCGACGGTTTTTGTGTGAAATTTTTCGATGACGCCGTTAGTCGTCGTTGAAGGAGAATTGTCTCCTAGATAACAAACATAAACCGCCTCCTAGAACTCATTGAATGTGATTCGTTCTTTGGTGACGCAGTACGTTCTATGAGCGTTCAGTATATTATAGATGAAATGAAAGAAGATACGCACGCAACTGAGGAAGGGAATTGTAGATTATGAAGCTAAGAACGAGCAAGTTGCACACACTATTTTTTAGTTCTTCTAAGGAATGGAGAGTAGGTAGCCAACTGGGACGTGAGGTTCAAAAGCACCTTAATCTTGTTGTATAAGATAAGACAACTAATGGGAGTAGCAAATGTCATTTGCAAAGTTGTGTACAGGCCGTGAAGAGATGTATGCATCGGCGAGTTGATAGTACCATTCAGAGGAAGGACTAAGCTCCGTCAGTATGCTCTTTGCTAAAGGAACATCTTTGGAACGTAGTGTGTCAACAGAGAACAAATCACATTCAAGACTTCAAAAAGACGGTTCATGTGAAGACGTTAAGGATTTATGTCAGTTATTTCGGTGACAATTCTATTTCAACGACCACTAGCGAAGCTCTCAAAAGGTTTCACCTCGAAAACCGCTGTCGATGTGAGCGCTATAAATGATGTCCGCTGAAGAAGGCTCTTTTTATGCCCAAAATCATCCAAGAAAAATACTTTATATGTCAAATGTGGAACGCATTCCCGCTCAAAGTGATATGATCCCGCACATCTCTGTATTCTTAGAGACGCTACGTAGTTGTTGTTTGTAATCAAGAGGCAGATGTTTCATAACATTCATTGTACTCAAACTGCAATGATTGTATTACCGCATT